TTGGGGGGGGGGTGTTCATTTGCCCCCTCTTCTGTGCACACTTGCACACAGACACATGCATGCATTCTTGTTCATGTGCACACATGTACTTGACCGTGCACACAAACATGCACTCACACCCATACATCTCCTCACAGGTGCATTCATTCCTGCGCGCCAGGCGCCTGCTCACACAGACTCGCTCGGCACGCCCTGGAGCTAATGGGCTCTCAGTGTCATGTCATGTCGATGCAGTGCCAACCCCCCACACCAGGCTAGGACACGCAGAACCGAGAGCCAACTGTCTCCCTGCACACATGCGTGTTCAAATCAGTGTGATCCAGAGCCCTGCAGTGTCAAGACCTGATCCTGGCTCTGCCCTGGCCTCCCTGTTAGCAACCGCTGGCTGCCCCAGACTGTAGGAATGGGGAGGAAGATTGTGATAGACCTGCCCACATGTGTGCTGCACCCTGTCCAGTCATGCATGGGCCTGTGCATGGGCACCCACGAACACATCCGTGTGCTTAGTGCATACACCCAGGCATGTACATCTCTACATACACTCGTGAGTCAGAAGGGACGTGGCTGCATGTGTATGGCCCTTGCGTGGCCATACAGGCGCTTGTATAGCCCTACATGTGCAAACAGGCACATGCAAAGTCTCCTCAGTGCCAGGAGAGGGACAGGCCGGATATCTGTGGGCTGCATGGCCCTCTGCACCCCGTAGGCCTGTCGCTGGCACTCAGCTCCCTCTCCCCACCAGGATGTGGATGATGCCACCCTCTCGCGCCTGGAGCTGGAACGCAAGATCGAGTCTCTGATGGATGAGATCGAGTTCCTGAAGAAGCTGCATGAGGAGGTGGGCGCATGGGGAGGCACAGAGCAAAGGGAGGGATGTGTGGGAAGGGATTTGGGAGTGGGAGGGGGAAGGGGGCAGCATTGGCTCAGGTGGCACTTTGATGGGGGATAACTGACGCTCCATCCCACTCTCCCCCACCCCGGAGACCCCGCTACAGTGGCCAAGTTCTTTTTCTGCCTCCTAGTGGGGAAGAGCAGAACTGCAGTTGCAGTACAGCCCCACCCTGTGCCAGGCTGCAGGGTACCTGGGTGAAGGGTGGGGGAACAGACAGGGCACCTCAGAACTAGGCTCACACTTAAACTTCTGGGTGGAACTGGCACAGAAGGGGTCCCCAGGACAGGAACCCCCAAAAAAGATGCAGATTTCTGAGCGTCTCATAGAACTGGAAGGGACCTCGAGGTCATCAAGTTCAGTCCCCTGCCCTCACAGCAGGACCAAGCACTGTCTAGATCATCCCTGGTAGATGTCTGTCCAACCTGCTCTTAAATATCTCCAGTGATGGAGATTCCACAACCTCCGTAGGCAATTTAGTCCAGTGTTTAACCACCCTGACAGGCAGTTTTTCCTAATGTCCAACCTAAACCTCCCTTGCTGCAATTGAAGCCCATTGCTGCTTGTCCTATCCTCAGAGGTGTTAAGGAGAACAATATTTCTCTCCTCCTTGCAACATCCTTTTAGATACTTAAACTGCCATCCTGTCCCCTTTCAGTCTTCTCTTTTCTAAGCCAAACCAACCCAATTCTTTCAGTCCTCTCTCCTAGCTCATGTTCTCTAGGCCTTTCCTCATGCTCTTTTGTCCTTGTGCGTGTGGCTGGCATGTGCAGGAGCTGCGTGACATGCAGGTGAGCATTCACAGCCAGCAGGTGCAGGTGGAGATGGAGACAATCAAGCCCGACCTGACGGCCGCGCTGCGTGACATCCGCGTCCAGTATGAGAGCATCGCGGTGAAGAACGTGCAGGAGGCCGAGGAGTGGTACAAGTCCAAGGTACTGGCCCCGTGTGTGGACCCGCATGAACCCTCTGTGCTGCCTGTGCCAGGAGGGTGGGCAGATGGGGCATGGCTGCGTGGGGAATAACCTGACCTCTAGGGAAGTTGCCCTCTGATTGTGGGGAGCTCCCCCTGCACCTCGCTGGGGTAGCATTTGCGGGGTGCTAACACCAGCCTCTCTGCTGACCCCCTCTCCCTGCAGTTCGCTGACCTGTCGGATGCAGCCAACCGGAACCACGAGGCCCTGCGCCAGGCCAAGCAGGAGATGAACGAGTCACGGAGGCAGATCAATAGCCTGACCTGCGAGGTGGACGGGCTGAGGGGAACCGTGAGTATCATTCTCCGGGGGGAGGGGGGGAGCACCCCAGCCCTGCTCCTGGGGCAGAGTGCTCCCAAGTGAAGCACCCACCGTTGTTCCCTGCAAGCAGTTACATTGCCAGGGCCTGAGCAGGGACTCGCAGCTGAGCCGGCCTTGTGGGGAGCAGCTGGACCAGGATGGGTGGTAGGGGAAGCAGGGAGAGACCAGCCCCCTTTGGAGCCAGTCTCTGACACCTGCCCTCCCTGCTGTGGCCAGAACGAGGCGCTGCTGCGCCAGATGCGGGAGCTGGAGGACCAGTATGGGGTGGAGCTCGGCAGCTACCAGGACACGGTGGGGCGGCTGGAGCAGGAGATCCGGCACATGAAGGAGGAGATGGCGCGGCACCTGCGCGAGTACCAGGACCTGCTCAATGTCAAGATGGCTCTGGACATCGAGATTGCCACGTACCGCAAGCTGCTGGAGGGCGAGGAGAGCCGGTGGGTGCAGCGCTGGGGGCACAGCTCTCCCAGCATCTGTTGCGAGAGGGTGGGGCTGTTGCTGACCCCCCCCCCCCCCCCGGGGAGGGCTGGGGAGTGGAGGAGAGGCAGGGTCCTGCCACTCACTGTGCTGTTTGACCCTCCCTAGGATCTCGATCCCTATCCACTCGCTGGCCTCCTACAGTGTGAAAACTTCAGGTAAGTGTGTGCCAGATATGGAGGGGGGGATCCCCCTGTGGGTACCTTCCCCAGGAGTCTCACCCCTCCCCGGTCAGTTGTCGTGGGCTCCCCACATCTCTCCCTAGGTACCTGGGGAGTTGCTGGACTCTGCCATCGTGTGGGGTTGGCCTGGGAACTGACTGGTTGCGGCAGATCCATATGGCCAGCAGCACAGCCCATTGGGGGATCTTCCCTGGGGGACCCCTGCTGTGACCAGAGTCTATTGTCCTGGGGCACACCCACCCCAGGGCATGGAGGCCTCACCTGGGGATTGGGGGTTCAGTGGCTGCAGCCACTTCCCTTCTCATGGCCTTCCTGTACCCCCTGCTAGCACCCGAGCCGGAGCAGACTGTGGAGAGCCACACCAGGAAAACCGTTCTGATCAAAACCATTGAGACCCGGGATGGAGAGGTGAGTTTCCTCCCTGTCCCCCCCCTTGGGACATGGGGGTGAGGAGAAGAGAAGAACAGGGAGTAGTCAGCCTGGAGTGTGCCAAGCCTAGGGTAGCGGGAGCTTGGGGGAGAAGCTCAGGGCATGCCTAGGCCTGTGAAGGTTCCCGGGGCGTCCAGCTGTCATTCAGACCCAGCATTACAGGAGCATGCAGAGAAAGTGATGTCTAGCAGTTGGCGCTGGGAGGCAGGACTCCTGGGTTCCATACAAAGCTATGGGGGAACATGGGTTAGTGGCTAGAGCCGGGTTCTGCTCCTACCTCTGCCCCTCTGTGCTGGGGATAACACTGGGCAGCAGGCTTAGGGGCTTGTGGGCAGGCCTCCAAGATCCTCCATGGCAGGGAATGTAGCCAGGCATGGGCTGAGTGGGATCTAACCATGGGCTCTCTGTTCCATCCTGCTCCCCACCCCACCCCCGGTAGGTAGTGACTGAGTCAAGTACGGAGCAGAGCACTGATGTGGAGAAGTGATCCTGGCGCTGGGCCGCTGCCCTGGACCGAGGCGACAGTGTGAAACTGACTTGTAGAAGCCACTGCGAGACCCCTGCTGCACCTGCCCTCCCCCCAGCCACACTGGCCTTATTACTACAGATACCTCTGACAGCTCTGCTGCACTGCCCCGTGCCTCCAGCCCGCCTACCCTTGTGGTGTGCCCAGAGCACCGAGAGCACAGCAATACCCACTCACAGCCCAGGGCAAGGAGGAGAGGGGCCCTGCCTCCAGTTCTCCCCATCCCTCTGCCCTCTCACTGCATGCTGTTTCCCCAATCTCTCCCCCATCCTGTGCTTTTGGCTCTGGCCTGGTTTTTCCTTCCCTGCCCCGGCTCTACCGTTGGGCGTGACTGACCTTCCCAGACTACGTGTACTGAGCCACAGGGATGTGGTTAAACAGAGTAGGATCCTACACCCCCTCCAGCTACAGCCTAGGCCATGCGCTGCCTATACAGATCCCAAGACCACTCCCACGTCCCTAGAGCAACTGCTGTGAGCATTCCGCAGAACCGGTCCTCCTCCGTCCCATCATGTTTCCAGCCCCAAGGCAGAGGCTGCCTGAGTTTGGTACCAAAGAGGAGTCTGCTCCTGAATTGGACTCCACAGAGGAGTTGTCCTCGTTCCACTACCAAAGCAGGATGCTGGCCCCTGGCAGCTGTGCCTCGGGCTGCTGCCCAGCAGTGCTCCTAGTAGCAGAGATGCCTGTTGGAGTGGTGATACCAAGATCTGACTGCAATTCTGTGTTGGCTGGTCTCCAGCCCAAACACAGCCAGGCCCCCTGATTCCCAAAGCTCTATTTTAGTACAGAAGAAACGAATTGCAGGGACTGCTCAGCAGGGCTGGATTCCTACCCCTGGCACTTGCAGCCTGGATTCCTGCTCCCTGGGTACAATCCCAGTATGCCTGGCAGATGGGGAAGCCGTTCCTAGTCCCAGTGCTGCTGTCTCTAGTGTTAATTCTCCTGGAGGCTGCAGCATATCCTGTTCTGGCATTGCCTAGAGCTGCCATCAGCTCTAGACAACAGGGCTGAGTGAGCCTGGGGATGAAGGGGGTGAGTAATACCTAGGCCCAGTTGCTGAGGGTGAAGGCCCTTGTGCCCAGGGTACTAGTCTAATAGTGACAGCCCAGTCCTGTCCTGGAGTGTCCCTCCCTAAGGAGGCCTGCTGTGGTGCTGAGTCTCCATTCTCATTTTGATAGGGATCCCCGCCTGTCCATTAGCACTTGTGTTGCTTTGATTTTTGGACACATGCTTAGTTGTCAGGGCCTGAGAGGGAAAACGTTTCTTCTGGGGCCTTTCAACCCTGGCTCCACTGCTGGAACAGATGTGTGGAATGATGTTTCCTGCTGCTATCCCAGCTCAGGGGAGAGTCCTGAGCCCCATACTGGCTGCTGATACTCAGCCCTGCTTCTAAGCAGGCAAGTCCTAAAAGACTGTGCTCCACTATCATTCCCACATTTCTGTCCTCTGGCCGCCTTCCCTCCACGCAGTGCCTCTGACTTTCAGACCCACTTTCCTTGCCTTAGCTCTGCCTTCGTTAACCAGGGGGCTGCGATAGGATCTCTCACCCTGCTGGACCAAGACACACGGGAGGCTGTGAGCATAGTTGCTTTGGTGCTCCTGGGTCTTCCCTGATCTGCCTGAATGGTGACACTGGCCCAGTGCTCGGCCATGGTGTTGAATGTGTCCTGTCCTGCTTTTCCAGCCACTAAAGGTCATAGCGAGGAATGTGCGTGTCTGCTTCTCATCTATGCCTCCTTATCCCACCGTCTGAGATCTCCACCTTCCAGTGGCTGAGTGTGGTGGGAGGGCAGGGGAAGAGACCTCAAATTCGACCCTCATTGGCAGTGCCAACCAGAGGGCTGAGCTGTCGGCTCTTAGCCTTAGTGGACAAGGGGAGCTGTCCAAATTAACCTCACTCTGCTTGGACCTAGCAAACCTCCCGCTGGGAGGCGGCCAGCCGCCCTGCTTGTCCCTTCCAAAAGGTGCTGGGGGTAATGGGTGAGGGGGAGCTTGTCCAGGCTGTGCCTGTAAGGGTGGAAAGAGGTTGGCTTCAGACTAGGCCCCCCAAACTGCTGCCTACATGCGCACGAGTGCCTGTTTGCCCCTTCCGCTCTGCTCTCGTCCTGGGCCAGCTCCCCACTTCCGGGGAGGAAGGCGTCCAGGCGGGCGGAGCTGTAACCCTGCAGCCCAGGGACGCGGGAACACAGGGAGTTGTGGACACAGCAGCGCCAGAGGGCTGTTCGTGGGGCTGAGTAAAGTGATGCCTGGGTGGCAAGACCTTGGACCACAGCATGACGTGGCACCGTGGCACGTGGCTGCTGTCTGACGTGGTACCCTAGGGGGAGCCCTCGCAGGGGGGGGGAGCTGTG